AGTCTGTAGGGTAATGTAGAAATTTGTTTTTGACTTAGACTTCTAAAACCTTGTAAGCACCACTTAAATTTTAAAAGTGAAGTAGAATATAGTTCAAGGTCTTTCACACCTTCTGTTAAAGTAGAACATGAGTATATCTAATATTGGTTTCATGGGGCATCACTATCATTAAATCTTCATTTTAAAAGCATCTTCCCTCTCAGCTTTCTTTTCCTGGATTTCATAGCTTTAGCTATTTTTCGCATTCTGGAAAAACACAAAGCACAACTGGGCAAGCTTACCAGTATGCCAGCAATCTTTTGAGACATTGACATTCCTTGTTTAAAGAAGAAGAACAACAACAACAATAACAACAACAATTCAAGCCAATCCCAGCTTTCCCCCTTGGACTTCATGAAAATTATTTCCTCAACTGAAGAATATATAGATAGCCAATTGGACCTTTCTCTACCCCTGCATGATTGTCTCATGTCTACCACTGCTTGAAAAACATGTCTTCTCTGATATTACTCTAGCTCCTTCAACAGTTCATTAATTATGTTCATAGATCTGTGAACATCCTTCATTCTCTAACTTTGGAACAGAGTCTGTAAAGGCACAGGGTTTGCCAATATACCAGTACCCTAATGTGAGGTCAGGCAAAGAATAATCAAGAAGCAAACAATGAGTGGCTCCCCAACTTTATCAGAACAGGGGTTTGCTGCTACCACATTCTCATCTAGTATATGTGGCACATCCATTCTCTGGCCATTGCCCTTCCTGTGAGAAATAAGATTGTGAATGGAAGGCTCCTCTGCCTTCCCTCAAACATAGGCAGAACAAGGACACACAGGATTGGGCAGCTGCACAAAATGTGGGATGGGGAGAACATAGAGGGCCTTTGTACACACAACAAAATTGGCCTTTAAAGTGGCTTAAGTGCCCTTTTGCCCCGCTTTAATGGTGCATCTGTTTACACTGTCGAGGGCCCTCAATATCTCCTTGCAGGGCTTTGCCTGCAGGCCCTTAACCATACAAGTGGCCTTCCTCTGAACCCTCTCAAGGTTGTCCACATCCCTCTTGAAGTGTGGCACCCAAAACTGGACCCAGTACTCCAACTGCATCCTGACCAATGATGCATAAAGGGGAAATATCACCTCCTTGGACCTGTTTGTTGTGCACCTACTAATACATGATGAAGTGTGGTTAGCTTTACTTATCACTTTATCATATTGATGACTCATGTTGATATTGGAGTCAAAAGTGACTGCATCCTATTCTGTTCTACCCACTTTTCCAACCTGCCCATGGTGTGGTAGCTTTACCCCATAATTTGGTATCATCTGCAAATTTGGTATCATCTGCAAATTTGGACAGAGTGCTTTCCATGCTCTCATCCTAGTCACTGATGAAGACATTGAACAGCACAGGACCAAGGACCAAGGACCAAGCCATGTGGGACTCCACTTCAAACATCTTTCCAGGTCAATACTGACCCATCCACCACCACTGTCTGGGTGCGACCCCTAAGACAATTTGCCACCCACCTGACTGTGTAATCATCTATGTCACAGTTACTCAGTTTATCTATAAGGATATAATGAGATACCATATCGAAGGCCTTCTTAAAATCTAAGTAGATGATATCCACCTTGATTCCTGTGTCTAAGCATTTTATGCTCTGGTTGTCAGGTTAGTCAGGTAGTATCTACCTGCTATGAATCCATGTTGGTTGCCCTTTAGCATTTCCCACTGGACTCCCACAAATGTGATCCTTAACAATTTTTCAAAGGTTTACCCAAGGATAGAGGAGAGACTAACCAGTCTATAGTTATTCAGATCCTTGTTTCTCCCCTTCTTGAAAATAGAGACCACATTGGCCCTTTTCCAGTCCTCTGGGACCTCACCTGAGCATCAGGAGTGCTTGAACAGCCATGCCAATGGCCCTGCTATGACACCAGCCAATTTCTTCAGCACCCTTGGATATAGGTCATTCAGGCCTGCTGAATTAAACACATCCAGCACCTCCACATTTCTCTTCACTAAGTCGGTGCTAATAATAGACAGGCTGGTTCCTCCTTTATGTCTGTCTATGATCCAATTGGGAGATTTGTCCTGATCCGTGGTCAGGAATACAGAGGCATAATTAAACCAAAGTAAATCCCCATGGTGTGTACAAGCTGCCAGAGATGGCAAACTTAACCCCGTAATATCTTCCTCCCCTCTGTTACCACCCTGCCCTATATGTTTCTTCCTAGAATTCTACCCCTGAAGCCCCCCACCCCTCTCCACCCCTTGGTTTTTTTACGTATGTTCTCTTTCAACACATAATACCCTTAACCTTTCTTTCCTTCCCATGGTCAATAACATTTTTCAGTACTGCTTCCCAAAGACACATTTGGTGATATGAAAAGCCAGTAAGACCCATTCAGTGGTAGAGCTCTCCATGTATGCAAAACAACATCAAAACAAATCAAAACAAACACAACACAAAACCTTCCAATATTGTGGTTAATTATGATTTTACATGTAGCCTTATGATCTATTAATTTAGTGTTTCTCCTGTTGCTGTAATAGCTCCTTTTGAAGTACGCAACAACCATCTCAAGACTTGACAGATCTAAATTCATGCCATATATAGACTGTGGATAAACATGAACTCAAAATAGGTGGATGTCTTAAATTGTGGCCTTCAGTGTCATAGTTTCATAGTTTCATAGTAGGCAGGGTCAGAAGGGACCTGAGCAGATCATCAAGTCCGACCCCCTGCCATGGCAGGAAAGAGTACTGGGGTCAAACGACCCCAGCAAGGTGCTCATCCACCATCCTCTTAAAGACCCCCAGCGTAAGAGCCAGCACCACTTCTCTTGGAAGTTAGTTACATATCCTAGCTGCCCTGACAGTGAAATAGTGCCTCCTGATATCAAGCCTGAATCTACCCTCTGCCAGCTTGTGACCGTTATTTCTTGTCACTCCTCGTAGTGTTTGGGAGAACAGGGACTCTCCCAATGCCTGCTGGTCCCCCCTGACTAGTTTGTAAATGGCCACTAGATCCCCCCTCAGCCTCCTCTTGCTGAGACTGAACAGGTTCAGGTCCCTCAGCCTCTCCTCGTAGGGCCTGCCCTGCTGCCCGCTGATCATGCGGATGTCACTCTCCTGGGCCCTCTCCATGTTGTCCACATCCCTCCTGAAGTGCGGTGCCCAGAACTGGATGCAGTACTCCAACTGTGGCCTGACCAGTGCCGCATAGAGGGGGAGGATCACCTCCTTGGACCTGCTTGAGATGCATCTGTGGATGCATGACAAGGTACAGTTGGCCTTCCTGACCACATCCCCACACTGTCGGCCCATGTTCATTTTGGCATCAATAATGACTCCAAGATCCTTTTCTGCCTCTGCACTGATGAGAAGGGAGTTCCCCAGCCTGTAGGTATGCTGCTGGTTCTTCCTCCCCAGGTGTAGTACCTTGCAACCCCTGTAACCTGTCCAGATCCAATTGCAGCCTGTCCCTCCCTTCTAGCGTGCCCACTTCTCCCTACATCTTAGTGTCATCTGTGAATTTGAACAAGGTGCTTTTCACCCCCTCATCCAAGTCAATGATGAAGATGTTGAACAGTGCAGGCCCGAGGACTGAGCCCTGGGGAACCTCACTGCCCACATCCCTCCAGGTCGAATAAGACCCGTCCACCACCACACTCTGGGTGCGGCCCTCCAGCCAACTAGTGACCCATTTGACTGTGTATGTATCGACGCCACAGTCTCCTAGTTTTTTAATGAGAATGGGGTGAGAGACAGTTTCAAAGGCCTTCCTAAAGTCCAGAAAGACTAGTTCCACTGCAACACCTATGTCTAAGGATTTTGTGACCTGGTCGGAGAAGGCCACCAGGTTGGTCTGATAGGACCTGCCTCTGATGAATCCATGTTGGTTGACCCTCAGCATAATCTCCCCTGCTGGCCCCTCATGGACATGCTCCAGAATAATTCTCTCAAAAAGCTTACCCAGGACCGAGGTAAGACTAACTGGCCTATAGTCTCCTGGGTCCTCCTTCGTCCCTTTTTTGAAAATGGGAACCACATTGACCCTTTTCCAGTGTTCTGGCACAACACTAAAGCACCATGAGTGCTCGTAAGGCCATGCCAGGGGTCCCACAACGACCTCTGCTAATTCCATCAGCACTCTGGGGTGGAGATCATCAGGACCTTCTGATTTAAGTGTCAATTCTTACTCTCTCTTAATGGTCTAATGCAGTGGGAGCCAAACTTTTTGGCAGACACACAACAAATTAGTACTGTACTCTTCCATAGTGCAACTCTGATCCTCTTCCTCTGCCCAATCTGGTGCTCTGCTTTCTGCTCCCTGCCATAGTTACACGTTTCCTCCCCAGCCTGCTGAATGCCACACCTAGAGGTTTCTTGTGGCACTTACGGCATGTGTGACACAGGTTGGACACCTGTGGTGTAATCCCCATGTCACCGTTCTTTCTATGTCATTCAGACCTCCCTCCCAGCTATCTTGTGCTTCCAAATGCAGACATCAGCACAGCCTTTGCAATGCACAGCAATCCTGGCTTCATGTGCACTCTGTTCTGTTCTATATGAAAACTGGATAGAAAGTTTCTAATATTGGACTGTCACACTACTGATGTCCAGATTAAATCCATTATAAATCAATTAAATATAAAATAATTGAAAAAATGCATTTTCAAAAATACACCCATGCATTATCTTTATTAGTATTGCTTTTAGTCAAGATGTTCTCATTTTTGGACTCCATAAAGGGGAGGAAGGATGAAGAGAAGCAGTAGCACTTCCGCTTCCATGATGAAAAACTTTTTGGCATCTAATTACTTCATGGTCCCTAAAGACCAAGTGGGTGTTTTAATACACGCCGCTACCCTGACCTGGCAATTATTTTTATGAGAGATTCTATCATGTTCTGCCAAGAGCCTAAGTACATATGGCACATGTCTAATTAGACTTCCTATCAGTTCAGTTAAAGACAGACAGGTCTCAGTTCCAACGGACATTTTAAAATTATGGAGCACGGGTTAAGGTATGTTAAAAGCTTATTAACTATCTTTAATGCCTACAGAAATCTCTAACATAAAACCCTTCTACTAGGAACAAAAATCTTAGTTCATTAATGTTTAATCTTTTGATAGCAAAATGTCATCTTTGTTTTCTCTCACTGAATAACTTGTTGATAAATGGGAAAGCAGATGAAAAAAAAATATATATCCTTAGTGCCTAATGCAGTTGTTTTGGTAGACTCATGAACTAGATCAATCCTCAGTTTGTTTCAACTGATCGAGTTCCATCAAAATTAATAGGGCTCTGATAACTTAAATTGACTCAGGATCCAGCTCAGTGAACTTTACTGAGCTCCTCTACTACTACCTATGCTTTTCAAGCATCATCATTGTCACCAACATCATTTGTACAATATTATATAGAATAATAAAGTAAAAACATTTCTCAGATTTACTTGCTGTTGAGGATCATAATGTATCTTCTGAAAGACCAAATAGTTTGCTTATGTAAAACCTTCAGTTGAAGACATAAAAATATTGACACATATAAGGTATAGCAGCAATTGAAAAGAGTCTGGCGTATGAAAGCATACTAAGAATTGTTTGTAGTGCATTTGTATCATGAGTAATTATTAGTCCTTCAGAAAGTAACAGACATGGGGACTCCTAAAAAATTAAAAGGATGGTAACTTTGTAATCTTAGGTAAGATTCTAAACCTTTATTTAAATTATATCCCTTCCAGTGGTTGTTATCTCCTAACATCTTGGGTGGAAGATTCACAGTAATATAATCATAATAAAAAAAACAAAACCAACAGTAATTCTGCATGAGTCACACATTTTGAGGAAAATTCTTGATTTTTTAACATTCTGGTTTATTTATTTTTACGTGAAAGAAATAATTTTAAATTTCCTGAAGCTTTCTGCTAGTGAAATGCTCCTGATCAAAACTCACATAGAGAGAAATCCTTTCCCTGTCCAAAAAGATGGTGCAGTACTGCTGGGGAAGCTCTGGCTTCTCAGGCACACCATTCTCTGCTTCACAGCAGGTCTCTCAGTGTCACGGTTGGTGCATAGTGACATTTTAATGCAGATAAATATTGTTTGTGTGTTTCAGACAATATCTCTAGTTTGAAGGTGAAAAACAAGCACCTTTGCATCTACTTGGATTTCACACAGATTCTCACTCCATGTTGTCTAGGCTGCACTTATTACCTTCAAGTCATCTCCTTGTGGCACCAAGTACATATCAGGTAGGTGTTCATTAAAAAGTAGCCTTAATAATTCTGCTTTTTAAAAAGGATACGTAGTTATTTCTATTTTCTTTTCTTTCTCCAGATAGATGAGAGAAGCTAGTGAAGAGAATGCAGGACAATCATTTACCAGGGTTACAGTGCTGCAAAAAAAGAGATAGCTGTTAAACTTGTATCACTGCTCAACAGGACCTTTTCCTCACGAAGTGCAACATTGTCCAAGCCTGCTTGCTGCATGTGATTTTGTTGTGATGAGCTGGAGGAGGAATAAGGGTCACAATCATAGTTTCATACAGACCTATTTATAATTTATTGTGTAATTTTTTTCCATAACTCCTCTATTCATTAAACCATCTCGTTAGAAAAATTGTTTTAGTAATCTTAAAAACCACATTTGTATTTATTCATTTTAATCAGTTAACTTGCCCACAGTGTGTGGTTTAGTTAGGAGTGTCATATTGAAAGAGAGTGTTTTCAAACTAATATTTTTAATTATACAAGGGTGTTAGAGTTCCACTATACTTTCATCCCTTTCATGCACTACACTATACCTAGAAATATCATCTCATATTAACAAAGTTATATTTGCAATTGACAGTGTTTTCCAGGTCAGCACACCGGTTTTACTTACAGGTGTCTTTATTTTATTTTATTTTATTTTACCATATTTTATTTTCTCACCTTTTTCCTTTCAAATTAGAAAACTTGGCAGTCATTCACAAATGCATGCAACGATACTCATGCATTCTTTATTAAGATAAGTTTAAAGTTCCAAATGTCATGAAAATACTGAAGGATACTTTGCTTTTTTAATGCAAGCTCTTAATTGCATTACAAGGTGTTGTTATCCTTTTCCCCACCTGTTTGCTACCTCTTCAAAAATAAGCTTTATCTTGGAATATCTTTTCTGTCTGTCAGTTTGAGTTGCTTTCCCTTCCCCCTCAGGTGCACAGAATACATCTGAAATAAATGGTGAAGGGAAATCTGAGTGAGGTGACTGAGTTCATCTTCCTTGGTTTCACAGACAATGATCAGCTGCAGTTCCTCCTCTTTGTGATGATTTTGGGGATCTATACTGTAAGCCTGGTAGCAAATCTTGGCATAATCACAATCATCAGTACTGAGCCCCGGCTACACACCCTCATGTATTTTTTCCTCCGTAACTTGTCCTTTGTAGATCTCACTTACTCTACTGTTATTGCACCTAAGACACTAGTGAATCTGTTAGCAGCAACAAAAGCCATTTCATTCACTGGCTGTGTCACACAATTTTTCTTTCACTCAGTCTGTATCAATACTGAGGTTTTGATTCTGGCTGTGATGGCATATGATTGATTCATAGCTATATGTAAACCACTACTTTATACACTCATTATGTCCAGGAAAGCCTGTTTCTGGGTTGTAATTGGGTCATATTCATGTGCCTGTGCCTATGCCATTGCTCACACAGGTTCTTTGTTCAGCATGCCTTTTTGTGGCCCTAATGTCATCAATCACTTTTTTTGTGATATCCCGCCACTCCAGAAACTGTCCTGCTCCCATACCCACTTCCATGCTATGGTGCATGTTGTCTTTGCTGCTGTAGCCATATTAAGTACAGTTCTAATTATCTCTGTCTCCTACCTGTGCATTATCTTTGCTATCCTACGGATCCGCAGTGCCAAGGGCAGGCACAAAGCCTTCTCCACATGTGCCTCCCACCTGACAACTGTTTCCATCTTGTATGGGACTCTGCTCTTTATGTATGTACGACCCACATCTAGCAAGTCTGCAGACCAGGACAAACTGTTAGCTGTGTTCTATACCCTGGTAATCCCGATGCTGAACCCCCTTATCTACAGCCTCAGAAACAAAGAGGTCAAAGATGCCCTGAAAAAGATATTACATCAGAAAACAATGTCTCAATGAATTCAACTGACAGGGTGAATTCGGAGAAGGGGGAGGGGGAATCATTGACATTTTGAATGCATGGTCAAAAATTCAACATTTTCTGTAGGATGGTTATTAAATACTTTCTGGCTCCATATATACTCCACATAAATCCTTCTCACTGCTGAAGAAGCTACACTTTTATCTAACAGCTATGGGATAAGCTTGTTCAAACCCCTCCCTCACACATCTGCCTGTTCATTAAAACTTAGGAATTAAAACATTGGAGATCATTTTTTACCAGAATCCAATATATTCTTTGTCTCAGATGTCCCAAACAAACTCTTAGGCAGTTTTATAAGAAGTAAATATTGATGTGGACCACTATACTGTTATTTTCAACTGAAAAGAACTAACGGCTTCTCCTAACTATCTGACACAGGAATGGATGTCTTTCCAAAAATAAATGTATTATGAATATATATACCTTAATACGTGTAATAAGACATTGTATCCACTCCATGATATATTACAAGAAAAGTACTGATAACATTTCAGTGACTGACCTTGGCCATTGCGGTAGATGGGTTATTGTGTGTGTGTGTGTGTGCGCGCGCGTGTGTGTGTGTGTGTATCCGATCAAAGGGACATTAAAGTGAGACTTTCATAAACTAACTGTGTGCGAATGTTCCAGCTAGACCACTAAATGGGTAGCAGTTTGTAATAAATGTGCAGGACAGTGAAAGACTGTAGCCCAGTCTTGGCTACAGAGTAACACTGCCTTTTGACTGCTGTTCTTCTGGTCCCATCATTTGTTCACTGTTGCCTGGAAAAGTGCTGTAACCATTGTGTGACTTTTCATTCCATCCAGGAAGAGCACACACCAACTGCTGAAACTTCCTTTGCCTGACAAAGGGTTTTTGAACCCGAAAGCTTGCTTAATAACTATTCTCCAACCATTTGGGTTGGTCTAATAAAAGATATCAAAAATTCACCCAAGGAACCTTGTCTGCTTATGTCCTTAGACCAACATGGCTACAACCCAAACCCCTGTAACCATTGTGGAACACTTCTTCTTTCTTCACAACATGAAGAAGGAAGAAGCCAAACTCAGCAGCTACAAATCTTTTTTTAAGCCTATGCAAGAAGCAGCATAATTCTCAGGGGACTGAACATCTACAGTCCTCTGACTACTACACACAACTCCAAATATGTTTCACAACTATGCAGGAGAACTTCAGAAAAAAACTTAGAAATTATCTCCTTCACATAACCCACTCCAAAAGAGATCAGCTCAAAAAGGAAGTCAACACATGCTACAACAACTTAAAAGAGATAAATCCAGATATCTTCTCAAACGTTATACAACACATACAAAAAGACTACTAACACCAAAACCATACAACATTCCAAGCTCATACCTGATGAAACTGAAGGAACCAGTCAACCCTCAAATACTATCAATCTCTCCATGCACACACTTACCAAAGCTGAAAAATCTGCCCTCTCAAAAAGCCTTAATTTCTGTCTAGAATAAGATCTTAATAAGATACTACAATGTGGGGAACTGGAAGAATTTATCCAATGCCTCCATCAAGGAATATTTCCACAACCAAAACAAATCCACTTTCAACAACCATTCATCCTGTGACAACATCAAGGAAAGGATTAATACCAACAAATATAAAAATCCATAAAGTTTGTCTTTCCTGCTTCCCTTCATGCTATGGGGAGAGAACTCTGGGGGCCAGGAAAAGCATGGCCAGGCCAGGTAGGGATGGGGGGCAGGGGCAGGGGCAGGGTTGGGCAGGGGCAGAGGCAGCGCAAGAAGGGCCCTTCCTCCAATTTGGGGCTCACTAGGTGGGCATGGGAGGTATGTCCAGTGGCCCGAGTCATCTCCACTGGCAGTGAGGTTGTGCAGCTCCTGGTGGTGTCCTGGGTTTCATGGGCATGGTGCCTGGTTGCCTGGACACCACCCCTCTCTGGGGAGGAACTGGAGCTGCTGAGGGCTGTTGGTGCCATGGCTGGCCTGGCCTCCAGGCCAGAGCTGCACACCCAGAGCTGGCACAGCAGGTGCTGGCCTGGGCTGCTGGAGCTGCTGGACAAGATCAGGAGTGGGGATCATGGTGGGATGGGCTCCTGGCAGCCCAATGGTCTCTCCCCTACTGAAGCCTCATCATGGGTGCCTGGGTGCTGTGGAGGCTTGGGCAAGCTGCCTGTGCTGGAGTAGCCAGCATGGCTCAGGCCAAGGTCCTAGGGCTTGAGGAAGTCATGTAGCTGGTGCATAAAGGGCATGGACTTGCAGGCAGCCCCCAAGTGGCAGCTGTGGTTGATGACTTGTAATTGATACACTCACAGGCCAACTGTGCACTGTGAGTGTATCAAGTTGGTTGCAGGCTGACTGGGCGCTGCAAATGGGTTGTTTGGTTCAAAATCGAGGAGGCAGAGTTGGGAGTGAAGCAAAGACAAGTTTTACTTATAACAGTAAAGATACATTTTACTTATAGCAACAAAATAGGAACAAAAATATTTTATCAGCAAAATATGATTTACACGTATAACAGTTAACAAAAAGGTTAAGTTACAAGCAGACAATACAACAGTAACAGTTAAAAGTTGCCAGTGATAATAAGAACAGACAGACAAATTGAAAGAGTTTCCACTTGGTTGGTAACTTATTGATAGTTTTCAGTGCCAGGTGCATGTCAAGTTGATCCAGTAAAGTCAGGCGTCCCCATTTGACACTGCCGGAGGGAGCACCAGGGAAGATCCCTCAGTCAGGATCTGGTCCTTGCTCACACTGGAATTCTGGAGTCCGGACTTGGAACAGCAATGACCATTCTGTTCCATCCTTCCTAGTGGTCACCTGGTGTGCATGTTTCTTTATATCTTGTCCTATGCTAATCTGTTGGCTTTAGAGCCACTCACAATCTTACCTTACAGCTGTTAATCTATGGGATTAAAAAGTGTTAGAAATTATCGTAAAAGGTTATTGCCTAAACTCAGGTTTACCCAATAAGCAAATTACACCACATTACTTTGGGTTTTGAGATTAGCATTTTCTTCACCTAAGTTTAACCCACTTGGTTACTTCCTTTTGGAATTTTTTGAAATGTGTTAATTTTAACTTGTGGTCAGGTTTGTCATTTTTACTGACCTTTAAGCAAGAACCGTTAGGTCAGCTAAAGTTTGCAGGTCTGTTTTCTAATTCTGCTTCTTGGAGTCCATGTTAGTTTTATGATTGGTACAGACAGTTAATTTTAAGATTATGGTTATACTTGAGACAGATAGGGTACGTTTGCGGGAAACAATCTTGCAAGCTTTGCCTTAGCTAATAATAACTATTATGCCATTGCTAGATGCTCTCAAGAAGCAGACTTTTTTTGCTATGATTTGCTCATCAATCCCTTTGGTTCTGGCCATCATAATTTACCCCTTGCTTTTTGAAGCATATGCAATTGTTTTACAAATATGACTCTTGCCAGGCCACATAAATTAACATTAGTACGAGCAACAACTTTTACTTTGGCATAAACACGAGAACCAATTTGATAACAAAAACATCTAAGGATTATATTGAGTAATATTATTCCTACAACTAAACTTATTACTACTGCAAACCAAGGAAAGGGAGCACCTTTGGTGAAGGTATATATTTGCACATTGCAGGCTACTTCATACCACTTACACAGCAGGGGAATGT